GTGTATTTGATGGACATAATTGTAGACTACACCATTATTTATTATCTGTGTATTTGATGGACATAATTGTAGACTACACCATTATTTATTATCTGTGTATTTGATGGACATAATTGTAGACTACACCATTATTTATTATCTGTGTATTTGATGGACATAATTGTAGACTACACCATTATTATCCCTGCATTTGATGGACTGCATTGTAAGCTACACCATTATTACCTGTGTATTAGATGGATGGTATTGTGGACTATGCCATTATTATTTTGGCATTTGTTGGACATAATTGTAGACTGTACCCTTATGTATGTGATTGATGGACATAATTACAGACTACAGCATTATTATCTCTGCATTTGATGGACAGAATCATATTTCTATATCTTCATGACCATTTTTTGCTTTGATCATTCCCTCCAGCTTTTTAACTTGTTTTGTTAATTTTCATGTATAAATCCACTTTAATCTATTTTTTACTTTTAACATTTCTTCCTTTATCTGTTTATGATAATTATATGAGTGCTTGGAAGAAACCTGTTAAATGTGTACAGAATCCTTGGCAGCATAACCCAGCATCATTGCAACCTTGATAGTATCCAAGCACATTCCCACTCAGATATTCTGCCTTTTTTTACTGATGTATTTCCCTTTATTTAAAGGAGAATATAGGAGTTATATATGGCTTGTTTTTTAACTGCAAGTCATATTTTGAACACACAAACAAAACATCAATTAAACTGAAAAAAAGCTTTATTAATGTTGAAAATGTTAGTTAGATGGTTATTAAACTGATAGTAATGTCATGTATTAAAATATGAGAAACCTATCTAAAGTTTGACATGTAGAATCTCTCTAATTCCCCATTTTTCTTTACAAGTTACCTTATATGAAGCAAGTTCCTTAACCTTTTGAGGTTACATCAATCAATACATTGCCGTCCATCTTACTTCATACTACATTTAATGGTAATTCACCCTTAGATGAAAAGTTCCTTCCACATAATTGAGTGGAATTTCTCAAAAGAATTAAATATTTCTGACACATTTCAGATAATCTTCCAAACCAAATCCATGTGCTATAGTAATATCAACTAGTGAGAACATTGGAGAAAAACCACCATGACAGAAAGTACATGGTTTCGTAACAAATAATGTTCTTAAAAAAATCTAATACAAAAGAGATTCTTATTGGTTCTTTTCTGCTAAATCAGCCAATTGGAAGTTTTGATATGAAAATATAAAAAAAATACATAAAAATTGAAAATCCATTCAGTGCATTTTTATTCCAGAATAATAGAATATATGTTTAACTGAAACAAATTAAACACAGCCAAAAGGAATAGGAAACAGGTAGGTCCAACTTAGGTGTATAGTTAGAAGTTACATGACCCATTGTACTAGGCAAAGGAAAATATGTTACTTTAAATTTTTACCATTGAAAAACTTGCTTTTTAGAAATTTTAAAATCTCCATAGTTGTAAAAATCCTGAAATGTTGGAAGTTGCAGTATCTATCACTCACACACAAAAATATTCCTTATTGTTCATATAGTTACTTATTTTACACTCTCTCTAGATATATATAATATTTTGGATTCTTTCAAAGTTAATGCTCTCATACCTTATTGTTTTTTAATTTTTTATACCAGGTATGGGGTTTGTCTGTCCACATCTTATTTTACTCTTTCCTTGGAGAACACTCTCGAAGTACACTCTTTCGAAATATTGGTATGGGAGTTTCTCAAATATATGTTGATTCTTCAACTCGACTGTTTTCATGCGGTGCTGATGGTTCTATGAAATTGAGACAGTTGCCAGATCGTAACTCAATAGTCAGCTTGTATAACTAATCAGTATTCACCTAAAAAAAGATCTTAAGGTAAATTTCCATGATCATTGGACAGTTAGTAATTTGAGAGAGACTGATGTTCTTTGATTATATTAAACCTTGAGAAGACTTGTTGGTGAGTCTTTACAGTTAAAAATATCTAGCAAGTTAAACAACATTAATGCATTTAGATGTCATATATCTGAGTTTTTATACTAATTACTGATTTCATCATTTTGATCAATTTAAGTAACTGATATTTTCATGAGTAAAGTTATGTAAATCACCAACAAGTGTAAATATCAGTGAGAACCAAATCTTGATGTGAAATTTTATAACCAGTATTCAATATTAACTTGTATTATTTCTTCTAAAGATTGTCTATCCCAAAGACTTTATGGCCAATTTATTTTAACAAACACTATAATCATAAGTATTATTTAATTTCTATAATAGAATTAGACTATTAAAAGCCAGTGTGAATGTCTACAAGTAGTGAGTGATTGAAATATATGCATGTATATACGAGTATAAACCTAACCAAAGTTTGAAGATTGTCTTCTTTGACTACAAAGTCTGATCTAAGACCACAAGGGTATATTTGTTCAGAGATTCCAAGAATAGCTCCTGTATTTATACAAAGATAGGTTAGTGAAGATCTATATTATAGTAATGACGAATAAATTTGTGATAGAAGGGTAATCAAATGAACACTTGCAGTGAATATTTGTCATTGATATGTACACATTATATATTCTTTGTGTAAAACATAACTTTCAGAATTATGAAATGTGAAATTGGTATGTAATTATACCTATGTATAATAATGTTTCTAGTTGATTTTACATAAATTAGAAAAGCTGTAAAATTCTTTATTATTAGTTCTTTTCACACCACCTTGTTAATAGTTGATTTCTTGAAATGTTTTATGAAAACTGCAGTTATAAATAAATGTTACACAGTAGTATTTTCATGGATATGTGATAATTATAATTTTAAAGGTATAGTAGCTAAGGGTATTTATTTTTTCCCTAAAATAAACCATTGAACATCCCAAAGACTTGTAAAAACACTGATCATAGGGTGTATGCTAATTTATTTTATAAGTGTAAAGCAATGAGCAAAAGGTTGACAACCATAAAAATGTACTTTTCTAGGATGTTTGCTCAGATTTAAATATTAGATGTTTGTTATATAGTAAAATATGTGACAAATATTATTATTCAAGAGCCAGGCAACAATCTTAGTTCAGTAGTATGTTTGTGCCTCTCTCTCTTCTTGTTACTACTTTAGAACTACGTAAAATAGATATATCAAATTGTAAGTATGTTTTTATGCCTTCTGATTTGGGGGTTAAGTGCTTGCTAAGATTTCTCAAGGGATGGTACCACCCTATGCTGCAGAAGCTTCTACATGCCCGAGTTCCAGTTTTGTCCATAGAGAAAAAGTGAACCATAGCAGTTACCAAGTTAGTGATTTGTATCATGATTAAAGCTGGTTGTGTTTCATGTAAAAATAGAAGATATATATATTTCACATATTATCGAATTTATTTTACCCAGTAGAATTAACTTCAAAGTGTATTTAGGATAATTTATCTTTTGTAAGTAACTGAAGAACAAAATATGCTTCTGATACTGTATACGTATGTATTCTATTTAATCAAATTATTATTAGAATGTGATATTTGTATTTGTTTATTTCAAAAACGTTTTTTCTGTAGTTGTTGCACAGCATACATTATAAAATTGGAATTTGTGTTAAGAAGTTTTAATTTTTTAATTCTTAATTTAATGATAGTAGGTTAAAATGTAGCTACCTCATCTGAAAAAAATGTACTCTAATTATGATATCATCTTTTAAGAAGTTTGTTGAACATGGTATAGAATTTTTTACATGTAAAATGATTTAAATACTCAATGAGGATTGAACCATATGCCACACTGGGATGAGGAAACTTCCATTGGAGGAACAAAAATTCTAGTAAACATAAATCACTGTTAATGATTCAGTACATTACTGGTGGCAAGTTGTAGTCATGAATGTTGGTATTCTTTTAATATTCTATTTGAAAACTAAGAATCAAACACGTACAATAAGTATTGACTGGTACATTTCTTGCATACTAGAAGTTTAGTTAATACAGTTTTCTTCCCTTTTATTAAATGTCATCAAAATAATTTATTAAATGTTAGAAAATCACTATGTTTATCTATGTTGCAATTTTCCCAAAATGTAATATTTTGAAAAATGAAATTTGTAGAGGTTCATAAAAAAACAAAAACAGGGCAGTTCGTTAGTTTTAGGTGTAGTATAAGCACAGTGTCACAAAGAAAAATAAAACTTGTTTATTGTTTACTTTAAGAACTGTCCAAAACAACCATTTCAATGATAAAATTGCTTAATGCGTTTGTAGTAAATAAGTACAGTCAAGTTTTTGTACACTTTTATAAGAATGTTTTTTATTGTTGTATAACCTTTATAACATTTTAATTTAGTAATGTATTTTCATAACACCATAATTAGTTTTAAATTCTTTAAGTCTTGTACAATCTGTTTATGAATTAACACTGACACAGTTACACAATAAAACAGCACATGTAAAAAGTTGTTTAACAGATTGTTAAATGAAACTTTTATGTATTTGCAAGATTTTTTTTTGGCAGAGCTTTATTCCAAATGGAATGTGTAAGTGTGTGTGTGTGTATATATATGAATGTATGTGTGTGTATAAATGTATTTTTGAGCATAGAGATGTAAAAGTAACAATGGCATTATTAGTAACCTGAATCCTTATTTATTCTCTTTTCATCAATGTTTACAAAAATTTATTTCATCTGGTGAAATGTGTGTGTTATGCTTGAACTATCTTAATATACAGTAACATTTACTTACATTTCAATGGTAAGGGGGTAATAATTCCCAGTCAGATTCTATTTTTTCTTTAATAACCCTTTAGACTCTCTTGGTGTTTTATACTTTACAAATTTTGTATGTGCTCCTACTTTCTTTATATATTAATTATCAAACATTTGTTTGTGTTCATTTTTCCTTTACACAGTAATTAAGGTCAAAGTACGAATAAATGTGTTTACAAAATAATATTGTTAAATTGTGTACAGCAACTCATTGAAACTGTATGTCAAAAACCAACTGAAAGGGATACTTAGCATAGGTATTAAATCTAGGTCTAACTAGTGGAAGCATTATTTCTAAATTGTGGCCTTTCCCTTCAAATGATTATTTTAAAATGTATTGTTGTATGAAATAAAGTATTATAGAACCTTATTTTTTGTTTTTTTCATATCGGTGTGGGATAGTAAGAGAAATTTTAATTCATGTTGATTTGTCAGGTGAGTTTATTGATGTTAAAATGATTGAATAGCAATTACAATATAGTTATGGCTCGAGTCAACAAATACCAAAACTGTTCCTAGACAATTATTCCAAAACAAGCCTGACAGAAAAAATGTTTTATTATTATATAAGTGGTAACTGCAACTTTCTTAAGATCATGACATTAGTTTCCTTGCTTATTTTCCAAAGGCAGTATGTTTTATTATTATATAAGTGGTAACTGCAACTTTCTTAAGATCATGACATTAGTTTCCTTGCTTATTTTTCAAAGGCAGTAGAATGGTTTTGACTAAAAAGCTGTATGTGTTACTAGGTAATCACACTCACAGTTAATGTGATATAATATTACTATGAACTAACACATCTTGCTTAGGCCAAAAGATTGTGGCTATCTGTGTGGTACTATTCTCCAACAAATTCCAGTGTGAATACTATAAGCTAACATTATTCACTAAATATACACAAATGGAAAATTTAACTTATCCTACAAATCTCATCACAGGTGTTACAAAAATAGATCATAGTTTGAATAACATGGGTGCCTAGACTGTAAGTTGGCTGCCTGCAGTGGCCATTAATTTTAAAAAAGATTCTCTCCCCTCAACAAATTTTTCTACAATATGGAGCATTCTAAGCTTGTATTTTTAATAATGAGAAACTAAAGTTTTTATACAGTGAAAATTTCATCATAGTCTTTATTATGGCTCTCTACAAAGAAAAGATATATAATTTCAGGGTTTTAATCTGCAAGTAATAAAAGTTTGAAAGCATTGTTTCCACATTAAAAAGCAACTGAGCTTTAAAAGTAGAATACCTTAAAAGAAAATCACAGTTTTTAGATGATACAATTTTTTCACCACAAACTTCAAACAGGTAGAAATAAACTACTTCATATGTTGACAAGTCTTAGTATTTTTACTTCCCAAAAATCAGTACTAGATGTTTGTTGTTGTTGTTTACTTATCCACAAGAAAAGTATAAACTATGCATTACGACAATATTCTAAATCTGAAAATCTTAGTTATTTTTAAGTGATTTGAAGGAAGATATCAGAAAATTTAAAACTTTCCATCAGTGGATACAAGGCTGCAAAAGATTAAATGACTAACTTTACTAGCATATCCCATAATATAATGACCAAACATTTGAATAAATTGCTCAATGAACATTATATCAGGTTGTGCATGCAATATAACAACCTGCATCAGGTAGAATTTATATGTGAGAATAATAGATTGTTGTCTCCTGACATGAACTCTGAACCCCATGTGTATAACCACTGCATGTTCTCAAATCTCTTGTTTAATGGGGATGTGCTATATTCATGAAAGTATCCAAAATTTAGAAGAATCATCATTCACAATGCGTAGTATGGGAAAACTGTGAAACCAAATTAGCTGGAAGTGTATGCATAAGAACCTTCATATAACATGCGTAGTATGGGAAAACTGAAACCAAATTAGCTGAAGTGTATGCACAAGAACCTTCATATAACATGCGTAGTATGGGAAAACTGTGAAACCAAATTAGCTGGAAGTGTATGCACAAGAACCTTCATATAACATGCGTAGTATGGGAAAACTGTGAAACCAAATTAGCTGGAAGTGTATGCACAAGAACCTTCATATAACATGCGTAGTATGGGAAAACTGTGAAACCAAATTAGCTGGAAGTGTATGCACAAGAACCTTATATAACATGCATAGTATGGGAAAACTGTGAAACCAAATTAGCTGGAAGTGTATGCACAAGAACCTTCATATAACTAAGAAGAAACAAATTATAGTTAAGTTAGGAATAATGATCTTGAATTACCATCCAATTACTCAGTATTTGTTAAAGTAACTTAAACATCATCAATAATAATTTAATCTGTAAACAAGAAATCTTTGGCTTACTTTAATACTTGTACAGCAAATAATCACAAAAGTGAAAGTTTTTCATAACCCATTAAAAATACTGTTACTCTTTCAAGAAAATCACCAGTGTTATCAGTTCTTTATAAAGAATCACAACAATCACAACCTAGTTTGAACCCAGAAACTAAAGTTTTTATAATATAAAACAGTAAATGAAGTATACAAGTAAAAGAGCAACATCACAAGCTTTTCATCTTTTCTTGAAAATTACAATGAAACATAGAAGCACACAAAATTAATATAATACAGGGAAGATGATCATCATACATCAAAGTGCCCTATAGAAGAAATTACTTGTAAATTTTGTTTTTTTAACAACAGATGATTCTTTGAGACTAGTAATTTGTTTTTTCTTAAAATTTGAAAAGTGGAGTATTTGTTTACCCTTGACAATAGACTTTATTTGAATAATATATATACATGTATATAAATGTATAAAAACCATCCAGTTCTTGGTAAATGTTAAATAATCTCAAGAGACTTCTGAAGATTTCAGAATTTCTTCTGACATAGTGGTGAATGTATTTTTTTTAATAGTGTCTAAGGAAGTACACAACGTAAAGGCATGTGAATAATCAGACATGGATTTGGGAGGGAGGTGGTGCCAAGTGAGACATTGTTTTAGAATCAGTGCCTAACATGTTGACTTATTCTGTGCATTTATTACACACATAGTGTGTGAAAAGAAGTTCATCTGGTTTCAACATTATTGTTGAAAGGACTATGAATTTTCACATATACTGTTAAAAAAAAAAGTCCTAAAAATCATTTAATTGTTTTACATTTTCCAAGCCACCAGAATTCTAAACAGAAGTCGATATATGTAGCCAGAATATAAAATAAAAAAATTTAACTTTGCAAAGCACAAGTAATATACATGAAAAACTAAGTAGGAATGGTTTCTAATATAATCCACTTTTATATCACTCTAAACATATTAACAACAACCCATGATGTCAAGGAGCCCATGAAATAAATTTACAGCAGAAATGGGTATTTAGAAACAAGTAACAACATTGTAACATGCTTAAATAATCATCTAATTATTTCTTAATGGCAATTATTCAAGATGTGTAAGTTCATAATGGTTCAATATGTATATATTACCCATCATTAAACACACAAGGCCAAGCAGTCCTTTCAAAGCAAAGGAACATAATTCACAAAATGCTAATCCCTAATATTTGTGAAATTACCCGAAAATATTAATCAATTTACAAATATTATCCATAACTCACAGAAAAAAAAACTACTACAGGCTACATTGAACTGATTGACCTGTAAAAACAAAAAATGAATTTATACCATCAGCTCGCCTGCTGCTGCGGAACCAGAAATGTATAGCATCAGACAAAGACATCAACAACAAGGAAGACAAAGAAAAACAGGCCTGCCATAACAACATAAAAAAAAAAACTAGCTCAACTAAGATGCAAACTATAAAAGGATGTCAACACAACAAACCACCACCAACCTTGTAATCAAAGATCCAACTGACAACTGGACACTGAAGAAATACACCTTCTGTACAAAGGTCTCAATTTCTCTAACACATCCAAAAATATTATATGTATTGAAGAACTGGCAAGACAACTGGTGATCTACTTCACAAAGACCAAAAAGAAGAAAACACACATTCCAATTCTAACAGTAATCAACAAATTACCTTTATAGTAAATCTGAAATAATTATTTCTTTGAAATACCCAAGAATAGTGTTTTAAACAATTTTTTCAAATAATTTTCAAACTAAACCACTGACATAATTTCACCCCAAAAAATTAAAAATCCTTCAAACAAAGATATTCAATGTATCAATAATATGAAACAAGACAACAACATTGAAATACTAAAAGCAGATAAGGGTAGAGCCATTGCAATCATGAATATCAATGAGGCTTATTAATCTTACATCAACTGTGGGAAAAGTTTTGGAAGGTCTAACAAAAGATGCTTTGCAAATCATTTAATAAAGTTTAGAATTTTATTGGATAGTCCACATGGTTTCACCAAGGGAAAATCTTGCTTTACAAATCTTTTGACATTCTTTGAAAAGGTTACTGCTTAAATAGATGAGGGTAAGAGTGAAGATTTGGTGTATCTGGATTTTCAGAAAGCCTTTGACATGGTGCCACATAGAAGGCTTGTAAAAAAAAATTATCTCTATGGGTGTGGGGGGAGAAGTTAGCTAATTGGATAGAAGAGTGGCTGGATGGTCAGAGCAGAGGGTTGTTATAAATGGAGTTCAGTCAAACTGGATTAATGTCACAAGTGGGATACTCAGAGCTCAGTCTTAGGACCTTTGCTCTTTTTAATTTACATAGATCTATCAATAACATAGAAGAAGGAATAATCAATAAATTACTTGCTGATGATGTTAAGGTCTTGGGTGTTGCTAGCTGTGAGGATGCTGCTGCTTTACAAAAGGATTTAGATATTTTGTGACTTGAGTAAATAAATAAATAGCAGATGGGTTTTGATTATAATAAATGCAAGATAATGCATATGAATTATCAAAATTTAAT